CTTGGAGTTAAGACGATCGTTGCCTTCCATATGGCGGAGATAAGGGAGAAATGCATTTGTAATATTGTCTTTCGTCTAGCTCATGTTTTGATATTCGAGAAAATTCCTTGGTGGATCGTCAGCATTTTAGGCTACCTTAGTAGGTATGTCAATAATATTGATTTGTCCTTGGACATTGGGAAAAAAGGAGAATATTAGCAACTTTGGTTCAACATTTTTGTAGAATTGACTGATTAATTATTCAAGTAGATCAAGAAATGGACAAGGGATGCTCAACTGCGGTGATAATGTAGACCATTTTAAGGTTCACAATGGTCAGGCAACCAGGTCGATCTTTAAGATCATGAAAAAGTAACAATAACTCTGCCAATTATCCGCCAATATCGGGGCTTGATTATTGAATTTTGTCTCCTCTGTATCATTAACTAGGTAGACATTCTCATCAAGGCCAAAGCGACCTTTTTGTTGTGAAATCAATTCATCCCGCTTATTTCCTGCGGTTAGTTTCATGGTATTATTAACAGCATCCCATCCATTCATCATCGCCCTCTCCTCGGTCATCCGACAACTTAAATCCTCAACTTGCGTTGCCTTCATCTCTCCACAAACCAGCTTTGGAAACATAATGGCCTAGTTACCAGGCTAGCCTCGGTGTTTCTACCTTAAGATCCGGAGTTAAGGTAGGCAGGAGCAGGAAGTAAGGCACAGTAAGGTACCTACCTACTTGTGTGGCTCGCTTTCGCCAAATTGGATGGAAGCCTGTTAGTTTAGGTTGCCTTTGCCCACCTACCTGGTATCTAGAATCGTCATTGTCCGTCGCGCTCAACCTTGTCTTGATCAAACGCTATAAATAAGCTGGTGTTTGCTTCAAGAGCTTCCTCAAGTAAGTGTCGTCATCACTATCCTTCACTGGACTTTTTTCACCTGGCGTCGTGAGTGCAGCTGATCCTTTTGACCAATACCGTTTTGTTTGTTTTCATATTCCATTTTGTATTTCATCTTTGTTGTGTACTGAGAGTGAAGATTCAAAGCTGTGCCTGTGTTTCCGTCATTTTCCTGTGTTCCCTTGGTGTGTCTGTGCTCCTTCTGCCTAGTACTCACTCAACAGCTGGACACCACAGATTCGTGCCCCTCTTGCCAATCTCCGTCTCATCCGTTACCTCTCTTCTAAGCTGGGATGTGGATCATATCAGCTGATACAGATGGGAGAATTCAATCAGATGACATGCTCCAGATCGACTCTAAAATCCTTTGAGAATAATGAGCAACGGATTTATGTACCAGCATTCGGGCATTGTTCCAGATCATCCCAACGTCCACATCAGTAGAAAGGACCGCGTGGCGGACCAATTCGGTGCCCAATCGATTGATTCTCCGAAGCTCGCAAATAAGACCGGCGACTTTCCCAAGTAAGTATTTCCGTCGGCGACTCCATTATGCCTCTTCCAAAGTATTTGTCCGTTTGCCTCTCATCTACTGACTGAGTTATTTAGGAAATCAATTGGTCGCTTGCCTGCCGACAATGGGTCTCCTGTGGCATATCCGATCACTCATCCGGCTCGACACTCCGTTAGCCCCTCGATCTCTGTAAAGAGGCCTTATTCAGCGGGGGCTATGCCAGAAATCTCGGACTCGGAAGATCTGAGCAACCAAGGCTTCGCTTCAGGAGGGAGTATGGAGGCTGAGTCACCTCATTCCATTAAAGGTCGCCAGCAGAATCTAAAGACCCGACAACGACGTTCTTCCCAGATGCTAGGCAACCCCGGCAGTCGGATAGGAGGCGAAATTGGAAATCGCAGAAGTAGTCCGTCGAAGAGCGATACGCGACTGCCTAGATTTTCAGCAAGCTCCGCTGACGACCTTACCGGGAAGTGGCGACAAGAGGTGTCGCAATCCAATGCGCAACAGATGCGTGCAAGCCCCGTTCAGCATGGAAGTGTGTCGACCCTTCAGCCGAGTGTCAGGCAAGAGAAACTCGCTGCGCGGCCCAAGGGGCACCCGGCAGGACCCGTGGAAGGATTGAGCTTTGATCAGAAATCCGCTGGAGGTGACTCTGCGGTAGCCGGAGGTACAGCATCACATGGGATCTTCCTACAGCCAGAAACTCATCCTATAACAGAAGAGCAATTGATCAATGAAGTACGCGGAATCTACGCCGGGCTAGTCATGGTGGAGAAAAAGTGCATTGAAATCGACAAGCAACAGTCTGAGTCAAAGACTGCGCTGTCCCCACTCCAATGGCAGGCCCTGATTGCATTACATCGAACGCTGCTGAACGAGCATCACGACTTCTTTCTAGCATCACAACATCCGTCTGCAAGTCCTATGCTCAAAAGACTGGCAGAGAAATATGCCATGCCGGCTCGTATGTGGCGTTACGGGATCCATTCCTTCCTAGAGCTACTACGCCATCGGCTCCCTGACTCCCTGGAGCATATGCTGACTTTCATTTACATGGCTTACTCGATGATGACTTTGCTATTAGAAAGTGTCCGCGCATTTGAAGAGACCTGGATCGAATGCCTGGGCGACTTAGCACGATACAGAATGGCAGTAGAAGAGTTGGACCTGCGGGACCGCGAGATCTGGGCTGGCGTCGCCAGATACTGGTACAACAAGGCGGCGGATAGGAATCCTGATGTTGGCAGGATACAACATCACCTTGCCGTCCTAGCTCGCCCGGATGTAGTCCAGCAGCTGTTCTACTATACAAAGTCTTTAGTCAGCGTGCACTCTTTTCCAAGCACGAGGGAAAGCATACCATCATTGTTTAATCCGCTTCTGAATGCGCCAAAAGCACATCATCACTATCCGCTCATTGCGGCTTTTGTTTTGGCTCATGGCTATCTCTTCTATCGCAACCCGGCGCCTCAGTTCTACAGATCAGCAGAGGAGTTTTTGGCACACTTGGATACTCATGTTGGCCGAATGGGGGCCGCCTTTAAGATGCAGGGCGTCTACATGTCGTCGTGTAATTTCGCAGCCATATTCGAATACAATCACCCGGACGCCGCCTTACCCGCCAAGTTCCACCCGGGAGGAATCCATCAAGGGAGATCTGCTTTGGAGACCCAACCGACGTCTGCAAAAACGTCCACTTCCGCTTGTGACCTCCATTTAACCGAGGATGGATCAATGGCATCCGCAGATGGTCGAGGGTATTCGCCATTTAGTCTTTACGCGTCGTGCCTGACATTCCAAACCTTGTCTGTCCTTCTTGACCAGATCGGAAACAAGAACATTTATCCCACAGTGCATATCTCGCTGGCCTTCCTCTGGTGTCTAGCACTTAACGGCAAGAGCAGCATAGAATACGTCGAAGCTTTCGTTCCGTGGAGAAAGATCGCCACTTTTCTCAATACCATGATTCGCGATGATGCAGATATTCGAATTTTCGAAGGTCCCATTTTCCCTACTGTGGAAGAGGGGAAACAATTGCCGGAGGACTTTTTCATACGTGGTCAGCTCTGGAGTAAACTCTACTTCCCGCCTCATTTCTTTGAGGATTCCCTCATTGAGGATGAGGGGCGCTTCATTGAGCTACCCTCTCTGAACGTCTCCAGGATGTACAGGTGCCTTTGGCTGGGAGTGAAGCTGGCGACGGTATGTCTGAAGGACCGCAGCAAAAAAAAAAGTGTAAAAATGCTAACAAAGGTACAGTTCAAACGTTGGATGACATACGACCCCGTCTCCCGAAAGTTCTCGGTGACACCCCTTGCGCTTCAACTTGAGAAACTTGCGGAGCAGAACAATCCTTTCAAAGTCGCAGCCCCGCAGCCGGGGACCCGCGATTCGGAAATGCCTGACACTTGAGGGTTCAGCTTCTCTCTTACGCCAAGTAATAACACAGTTTCGCCAATTGCGCTCGAGATCCTGGGCTGTCGATCAGAAGCTGTCAAAGCCCAGAGTGCGACGATGCCAACCTAGGAATAAGGCGTCTCGTCAATGGCTGTACATCAAGGACGAGCAATTGAATGGAAAATGGCAACACGACTTGTCACACAATCCCCGACGACAGCCCGCGCAAGGCGAACTCGTCAGGAGCGCTTAGGAAGTGACCATTGCGCTGGACCTGCCAGATCACGCTTGTGCGAAGCAAACACTTGCAATACCCCTCCCTCGCAAATGCAATTCATGAACATTCAATTTTCTAAGATGGTATCTTCGCTGAGACTTCATCTTAGACTCTTCCATATTCCTACTCTACCCCGGAATGATACTTCTAGAGGTATCTCCTTGTCGAAGTTGCATTCTTACTTATCACGTGCTATTCCCAGATGGGTTACTTCTTGTAGTCAACTGGATTCCTTTTGGATCCTACGCTCGCTTCTTATGTGAACATCTATTGGATAAGACAGCTTCGTTGAGTTGTCGCTGGTGATGATACGATCTCCCTTTTCCCCAGGACGTTTTCACACCGTATTTCCCTTGCACAGATTTGTGTGTGATTGGGCCGCACATGCCCATTCTTGGAGCCTATGAAATGAGAAAATAACCTTTTGCAATTGAGCATGTTCGCATAAATGACGTCCGCCAATGATAGGATGTCCATGCCATACGTGTACATCTACCTAGTTATCTCCGTGTATCCAGTAGATAGTGCGTGGCCGTATACGTAAGTGCCTGTTGGCTGTTGTGGGGTTGAAGCATTGCGGCCCGTCAAGGACCACCTATCTAAAAAAGGATCCCAAGGATCCGATTACACTTGGCGGGTACTTGCAACCAGCTATCTACTACTCACTAAACCCAAAACCAAAAGGACAAGTTGGCTATCCGGTCCTCCGCCCCAATTTTCATGGCATTCCGCGCATGACGGCCATTGTCTGTAGCGACTTCAACTCTCAATGCAAGTACTACTGACCAGACAGACTCCGTGTCGCATGGCCGACCAACAAGGGATCGTCTTGACCTGTATCTCGAGCGCCTGAGCTCGTCTACTGCTACTGTGATTATCATTGCAACATTTTTCTTCATTTACAAACGCGTTTGTCATATCTACTATGGCTGAGGAATCGTGGATTGGGACGTGTGTCCATTGCACAGAATTGCTAGCCAGCGTGCCTCTTGCCGTCCTCCTGGTTGCCATATCCGCGACCCTCCTGGGATCATTCATCCTTGTATGCTCTCCTGTCGGCTTTCTTTCCTCCTATGCCAACATTTGGTCTTGAGAATTACTGACACATTCCCGTGCAAGTTCTACGTCGTCCTTTACCTAGTCGCACCCGAACCGCGAAAGCCATTACCAGAGGAGAAGCGATACCGCACCCTTTCCAAGGATGGAGCAATCACCCAACCCGAACAACTGCCCTGCTGGCAAGACGCCCTGGACCGGCAGAAACGTCCCGGTCGGATCTTTGACCATTCCCATATGGAGAAGGCGGAGCTATTCATGTCATTGGTGGTCCCCGCATACAACGAGGAGGACCGTCTGGCTGGCATGCTAGAAGAGGCAGTCAACTACCTGGAGAGGGTGTATGGGACATTAGGGGCGTCATCCACCTCCAACGAGAGGGCCGGAGATGCAGTCCGAGAGCGGAAACCGGCCAACGGCCATGCGAACGGCCATGCGAACGGCCATGCCACGACAACGGCCACACCTAACGGCAAGCTTCCATCTGGGAAGGGCTGGGAGATTATCATTGTCTCCGACGGGTCCAAGGATAAGACGGAGGAGGTCGCGTTTGCTTTTGCCCGCGACCACCAGCTTTCGTTACATCCTAAGGGGTACGCTGGTCCTTGGACGCCGACGCCCCATGAGGGGGTCCATATTCCTCCCGGCACGATCCGGGTGGTGACTCTGGCCGAGAATCGGGGGAAGGGCGGGGCGGTTACGCATGGTATGCGGCACGTCCGCGGTCAGTACGTGGTGTTCGCCGATGCCGATGGGGCGAGCAAGTTTGAGGATCTGGGTAAGCTGGTTACTGCTTGTCGGCACATTGAGGACTCGGACGGGCGTGGAGTAGCAGTGGGTTCGCGAGCGCACATGGTTGGTAGTGAGGCTGTTGTCAAGGTATGATTTGTAGCTCCCGTCGTGAGCTGAGCAAGGCTGACGTCGGACTCCCGATCACAGCGTTCGAAACTACGCAATTTTCTGATGCATTCGTTTCATTTAATACTGTGGCTTATGACGCCTCCCAAAACAGCGACCATCAAAGATACCCAGTGTGGGTTCAAGTTATTCTCGCGGGCCTCGCTGCCTTATATCATCCCCTATATGCACTCGGAAGGATGGATTTTCGACGTCGAGATGCTCATGCTGGCTGAATTCTCGAATATCCCGGTCGCAGAGGTTCCCGTGGGCTGGAGAGAGGTCAAGGGGAGCAAGCTGAATGTCGTTCGCGATAGCATCGGTATGGCTTGGGGTCTGGCTGTCCTCCGGGCTGCATGGACATTGGGGGTTTACAAACGGACGTGACAGGGGCTAAGAGATTCTATGTGTTGTATTTGGGTCTATACAATGAATGCTGCATCCTGTCATCTGATTACTTCATAAAGATCTGCCCAGAGAGGTATATTCCACGACGACGTCAAAAGAAACAAGCCCAATAAAGGTTCTATACTTTATTCTAAATCACTGGAAAAAATGGCGGCGACTGATCCCGAACATCTCCGTCTCCATTCGTTTCTTGCCACTCAATTTTGAGAAGCCGAGCAATGGAAGAACCCCATTGACCAAAGACCCATACCAAATTGAGTTTTCTCTTTTTTTACTTGACCGTCGGACAGGCCCCATTATTTCCATCATTTCATCCGATTTGATCGAAAATGGCAGAGAGAGTCAAAGTTTTCGGCAGGATTTTTCTTCCAGACGTCGGTCGGCCCGACTCAAGGTATAGAATGTTAGGCTGATCCTTGATAGCCCAGCCTGTGGTGGAGGCACGACGACAGCGGATGTTGGACTGATTGGATACTGGACAGTGGTATGATGCTCTTTTTTCTGCTCTCTCTTTTTCTTTACTTGCTTACCGAATACTGACTCAATTGTCAGTCCATCGGTGCATATCAGCTTGGAATACTCTGATTCATATATTCCAGGCGATTGGGTCTCTGCAAAATTTCTCAGCGTTTTTCTCTCTTCTGCATATCATTATCTTTATACCCTTGTAGAGACGACTGGATGAGGTGTTGAATTCTGATATCATTTTGATTTATCTATTCTGTGAACTGTCTGATGTCACTGGGAGCTTTTCCCACACTGGGATATTCCTAAAGATAAAGAGTTCCTTGTACCTCTTACTCTTGTCATTCGTTCTATGATATCAAGCTACAGTGTCGATGGACTTTGATATGCTGGAGGTCATCGCTTCTACATCGAAATCCGCACAAATCGGGGCATGGAGTCCTCGAAATACACCTCCCAAGCGGTCGGCTTTCTTTCGACTACCTCCGGAGCTCCGTCTGAAGATCTACGAATATGCCCTGGCGGTCCCTAATGAATACACGGACCGTCCGCTGATCGTAGTCAACGATCGTGGCAACAGCTTCACCTCACGCGGACGGTTCCGCGCCCTCTCCATGTGTCCCAGCTGGGTAGGGCAGGACGGCACGGCGCGCAATCTGCTATCTGTCAACCGCCAGATCCACGACGAAGCAGAGGACTTCCTCTACTCGCGCCACACCCTGTTCTTCCTGAACTCGTTTGATTTGAGCCGTCTCGGCGCGTTCCTGGATACCCTCAGCGCGACGGCGCGCAGCCGCATTCGTAGCGTCGGCTTCGAGATCTGCTTCTTTGTGCATTCGCAGACGGGGGTGCCGAAGCGCATGTTGAAGGACTACGAGCGCGCTGGACGGTTGCTCATGGAGATGCTGCCGCAGTGGTCTGGTGTCTTCTTTTATCTGGATCCGAGGTTCTACTATCCGTCTGCTTCTGTGGGTGGGCGCGAGCTATCGGCTCGTGGGGTCCTTTATCTGGCGACAGTGTTTGGGGCGATGAGGAAGGATCTGCATTTCTTTCCGTTGCCGTCGATTCATCGGCATGTTATGGATGAGGCGCAGAGGTTGTTGAGGAGGGGAAGTCGGTCGTCGCAAGGTCGGCCTTCTCTTTGACGGAACTTGAAAATCTTCTTTTATTCTTATTCATTTGGAGTGTCAGATCTTGCATCATATGCCATCGTTCGTTTTAGAGTCTATGAACGGTTGGGGACTGCTGCAGGATGACGTCCCGATGTTATGCGCTGCATAGCCGACATTGAGTCTTGTCCGATCTCGGCCTGGCGTGGGTCAATCACTTGGAGCTAACGGGATTATTCTGGCGCAGGAGGCTCGGATAGGAAATGCATGGCGCTGGTTTGCTTTTCGTGGAATGTTTCATGTTTCTCATCTGGATGGTTTGCTTTCACATTGAAGGGTTTGGCACGGAGGAGTTTTTTTTGACTGGGCGTACTCACCTCACATAGACTATAAACCGATTGGATAGATATCCGCTCCCTGTACTTATATCAGTGCTATACTAATACTAATATCAAAGGAAGCAAGATTATATGATGGTCTTAAGGGCCAAATCCGCATGCCAAACATACTGCTTGAGCTCATGGCATGATCGGCCGACCCAACCCCAACTCCAAGTACCATTCTGACTCTGACTACAATAGAGTTCGGATGATCATTCAAGAATAACAAATTATTCTCAATTAGAATGTTTACACAGACACAAGAATTCACAAATGACACCTGATTGAGGAGAATCGATCGTCAGTTGGACGGGTTTTGTATGGCATAACGTCATCACGTCTCTCGTGATCGCCTACTTTCCCCTACCACCTCCGGTTTTGTAGATTCCCCAAGATCTGATGCATACCTCCGCGATTGGCATCCATTTGGAGATATAACCATCGATTTATCCTACTTTCTCTATCCTTCGTCGACAATCATCTCCGTGCTGGCGCCCGAATTCGACAGCCTCAGTTCGTTGAAAGAGCACTGAGGTTACACTCTCATAAAGGTCGGTAGGAGACTGAGGTGCTAGTCTGGTACGTCTCACACGATTCCCCCGCATAAATGTGGGACATCCATCGTCGACCCGCTTTCTGAAAACTGATATAAATGCTTCAGTCTGCGGTCGTTTATCAGCAGCTCCTCTTCTGGTAACATGATGCGCTGAACTACTATCGCTGCGGTGAAAGATTACCCTAGTCCACTTGTCCCCCGACGTTTGGCTGGCTACAAACAATTCAACATTCGACCTCCACACTACGGAGCAGTTGACAACGCTATTGCTGCTCCTTCTATGGGGCCACGCTGTGCCTGAGGAGTTCTTACATATTTTGTCCACGCTTTCAGGCACCGCTTCATACGCTAGTTGTCGGTCGAAAATTAACCACTCTACGTCGTACAGGACGACGCTGTGACTAGCGAACCCCTTGCCCCCTCTTGTCTGTACCTTGAGGTGGTCTCCTGCATCTGGATTTTCCCTTTAATTTTCATGCGGTGGAGATCTGCCCTGGCGATGCTGTTTCCATTTCCCAGAGAACACCAAGTTGATAATCCTCACGCATCATTGACAACCCGCTGATTATTGGCAAATTTTCGTGGAGATTCGAGTGCTTAGTCTCCCCTGTATTATTTTTATTGTCTTTAAAGTTCCCTTACTTCTTTCTCTTTATCTCCACCTCTTCATCCCTTTGGACAGGAGAGGCTTTTTTAACTGGAAGACGGCCCTGCAATTGTTTCACGTGAAACGGTCTGGCTACCGCCACCATGAAACCAACGACTGCAAAGGTTCCCAATGGGCATGGGAGCCTCTACAAGGAGGTTCGCTTTTCGCCAACAGCAACCCCCATCCGCCGTGCACAGTCGGTCTCGACCAGTAACCCCGCCTCCAAGTTCGATCACGGGCGGGTGCTTGGCAAAGCAGAAAGCGATCAGTTCTCTTACTCGGCTTTGAGCGCCAATTATCTGGAGCAGGCCCGAACGCTTCTCCACCGCCAAAGGGCGAGCTTCGAGAATGAGCGGGCACTTTTCGCAGAGGAGCGGCAATTGTGGGAGAAGGAGAGGGAGCTACTGAAACTAAGAATCTCAGAACTAGAAGCCTTGTTGAAGAGCAAAGGTACCCCGAACGATGACTATTCGGCTCCTGGCACACTTGCTGGGTTCTCTTTGAACCCCTTCGGTGGTCCGGTATCCCCTAATTTATCTATTGAGCGCCACCGCAGCCACGGTTATATGAGTGCTCAGGTGTGGGAGGGGCCCAGCCCTACGAGTCGGCCCACAAGGGTTTTTTACGATGTGGAAAAGATCGATGGTCAGAACCACCTCGCGTCGATCACGGAGCAAGGAGCGCATCTGCCACTCACTGCGCCGTCCTTAGATGCGGCGCTATCCCCCAAGGCTCGTGCAGCCGAACTCTCCGCGTGTATGAGTATACCCGTCCCAATCGAGAAGCTTGACAGCAAGCTAGATGGCATTACCCTCAAATCTTCAGCGCTACCCCCCGATGTAGTCGCCCGCGTGATAACACCACCGTCCCCTTTGCCAATGGACGTATCCCCAGGGTCGTCCGATCGTTCGAAAACGTCTTCGGAACGTAAGAACAGCCTGAAGCTGAAACTGTCCGAGCTTGGGCCACCCGACGTGAATCTAGTTAAGGATGCTGGGCACACTCCCATGGTGCTCATTGATGCCGATGCGGACACAGAGCAGACCTCGGTTAACGGTGACGTGATAACCAGAGTCCAGGGCAAGGAAGAAGAGCCCTTCGCCCCTAGGGCGACGATGGTTGGACAGCCTGCAGAAAATTCCGACTCCTACTTTCCGGACGTACCTGATGATCCCGCTCTCAAGGGGCCGTTATCCCTACTGAATGAAGAGGAGCATGACAGCGAGTTCCTACAGGAGCTGGATCTGAAACTCCTCGATCAGGCCAGACGAGCCATCGGCCGCTCCTCTGACCCCGAGCCGGACGATGAGAAGGTAGCAGATGCAGACCCTACTGAGTCCGTTCCTGAATTGAAATTCAAAAACACGACCAATTTCGGCACTGCGTTCGGGGCCTCGGACTTTGAAAAAGCTTGAGGCGTGCACATTTCCACTTGCATATTTTCTCACGAGTCGTTCTACAATTTGACCCCCTTTCTGTTTATTTTACGATGATACACCTGTTGTTCGACGCACATTATGAGCGATTTTTAAGGAGGTCATATGCAATGTGATATATATATCCGAGTCATTGATGGCCCATACTTCTCTTCCCGTTGTGGCATACTAGAACGACGATATTGAGATAGCGTCTTATTCTCATCTCTTCAAGTTTGAGTCGACAATCTGACTTTCGCGATGTGTAACAAACCTTATCAGGCAGTGCTGCTTAAAGAAGTTCCGAGCACTGGCGTTTGACTCGTCATTGGCGTATCAATAACTCAGCCGCCCTTGCATGGCATCAACCTCGAATGGGCGTATGAAGCCACGATTTCTTCTTGTCTCATCCCTTTGCCCTTCGATGTATATTCGTTGCATCTGCATGTGCAGTGCGAGTCCGGAGGATACGCTGATATACCCCTCATCCTATGCTCCTAGCTAATTATCGGACTAAGAATAGTCTTCATTTTAATGCCTTACATGTCAAGAGCTCGGATCTCGGTGGCTGGTTACGAAGGATGTGAAACTGCCTCGCGAAGGTACAGGACTCATTTGCACAGAAGATGAACGCAGATATAAAAGACCTCCTGTCCCATGCCGTTGTGGTCTATCTATCATCCATTCTTTGACTTTTCCGCTCGCTGAGAGCAGTCATTCGTTTATCTATCAGAACGACATTCTTTTTTCTTTTTCGGAACTTTATCATTACATTCTTTCCATCGATATGACAAAGAGACACAACGTCAAAAAGCTCTCGGCGCTGCTGTGCCTCCTGCTCGCGGTTGGCCCTATTGCTGTACTCTCGGCTCCTATCGCTGATGTAAGACATGACACACATTGTTTCCCTCTTCCAGCTGCCTCCTCATGCTAAGAAAGAAATAGGTCGAAAGCCTGGCCAAAAGGCAGTCAACTCACAGTAACACCGATGCTGCATCCTTGATAAATGCTGGCATCCCAGACGGACCAACCTTCAACAAAGGCGATTTCTTCTCCTCCAGCAACCATCAGAAACGCGATGAGGACTGCGATAAGAATGAGGATGATAATGATTCGCCCTCCAGCCCGAGCTCGAGCTCTAGCAGCAACACGGGCGCCGCATCTTTCATGAACGCTGGCATCCCCGATGGACCAACCTTTAACAAAGGCGATTCCTTCTCCTCAACCAACGAGGAGGACCGCGATGCGGGCAACGATGAGAATGGCTCGCACTCGGGCGTCAGCACCAACACCGACGCAGGCGACTTCGCCACATTTGGTATCCCCGGCGGCCCCAGCGCTTCCTTTGGGAATTTCTTTCACCATGATTATGAGGAGACTCACTCCGAGCGGCCCGAGACTTCGCACGTTCCTCAGCCTAGTCCGCCTATGCCTCCTGTAGAGACGCCTACTTCGACCCCTCCGCCTCATCCTCCTGCTCCTGCTCCTCCTACTTCTACTCCCCCTGCCCCCGCTCCTCCTGTCGCCGCTCCCCCTGCCCCCGCTCCTCCTTCGGCGCCTCCTGCGCAGACTCCTGAAACTCCTGCCCCAGCTCCTCCTTCTCCGGCGCCTCCCGCCCCTGTCCCTGAAGCTCCTGTCGTTGCCCCTCCTGCCCCAGCACCAGCACACCCCGCTGATCATTCCTGCACCTGCAGTTGAACCATCAGAACAAGTGCACGGGGGCGTCCGGGCCGCAACCTGACTAATGTATAATGGCTTCCTCAGGGACACCGCGTGTCTCTTATACTCTACTCCGACCTTTCCTTTCCTTTCTGTTCCTGTTCAAATTTCTTCCTATCGACCGGTTCCATCTGTCGGCATTGCCACGAGTGCATCGGTTGTATTAGATATTTTATTTCTATACGTTCCTGACGGGGAGTAGAGTATAGTATAATTCAAGTGTGTCTCAATCCAATATCGTCTTTGCGTATATGCTGCCGGGGGTGATCCCAAGGAGAGAAAATAAAGTACTATTAGAATTTGAGATAGTGAACTGTCTCGTCTCATTCCAGTCATATCTTCATAGAATCGGAAGCAGAAATGACTCCTCGCTAACGCCAAACAACCACCAGAAAAAGCACAACATATCCCCCCAAAGCTAATCATACACCCATGGTAAAGTCATGTTCAATCCCGGGCGTCACACTAGCGATAAACTTCAAAAACACAACCAGGTACTGATCAACCCGGATAGCAACCTGGTCTTCCTCGTCATGCTGAAGCACCTCCCACTCATCTCCACCAGACGCATGCCCCTGCTGCTCATTCAGCGACAGGCCCCGCGTTTCATCCACCAAGCCCTCCAGCCCACGCTCGGAGTTGATCCTGTTGGCCTCAGCCGCCGAATGCGCCTGCTTGAGCTTATCGCGGCGGATCTTGAGGGCTGCGTCGGCGCGGTCGAGGAGGGTCTTCATGACGGAGGCGTGGCGGCAAGGGTGAACGGAGGCCATTTTGACGCCGCCGTCGAACCATGGGAAGTCCTCCAGCGTCACGGTTTTGTCCTTGTAGTCGCCGACGATGTCCTCCATCATGAGATGTGGGGGGAGGGGTTCGGAGGGCGAAAGGTAGCCAGACAGGTAGAGGCGCGGGGTGCGGTAGAAGTTCGAGTATGTGATGTAGAGGTTATAAGTGCGGATCGGCCTTTTCAGCAAACATGTCAGTGAAAACACAGCTTACATAGATGGAATAAGAGAACGTACTGCGTCGTTGACTTGCCCGCCGGCTCTCGGATGATCGCCTCCTCGTCATCATCGTCGTCCTCCATATCCGGGATCTCCTCTTCGTCGTCTTCCCGCTCGCCCATATTCCCCGATTCATCCACCGTCCGCACATCCTTTATCCGCTCCGCCTGCTTCTCGGCCAGATCGCGGCCCCCGCCTGTACGCAGCCACCCGTCGCCGTCGTCCGCGTCTGCACCGGACAACATGTCCCGGACGATCTCGTCCTCGTGGCCTGCATCGCCAGCGAAGTTCTCGTTCAGGCGTCGATGGCAGGGGACCCCGCGGGTGACCAGGAACTGTTTCCCTGCGGGCAGGTACGAGACTCGCTTGGCGGGGGAGGAGGCGTCGGCCCAGGCCCACGTCGGGAACTTGTAGACGAGGTAGTCGCCCGCCAGGACAAACTCCTCTGGGGTGATTTGGCCGGTGGTGCGGAAGGTGGAGGTGCGGGAGACGGGGGCCAAACGGTCCCGCCAGGTTGACAAGGTGGAATGGAGGATGTTCATCGTTGACTTTGACTGCGTGCTGCTGCGTGCTACTGCGTGCTACTGCGTGCTGATATCTGTTTGGGATCCTTGAAAATTATCTTCCTGAGGGTTGGAATGGATAACGTGAGCTGTAGTCAAGTTGTGTTGAGCTGTTGAAGATTGGATGATGATCAACAGAAGTGGCGGAGAGCAGAACTGCCTCCATGTTCCTCACGCGGGGCTACATCATGTGGCTTAGGCAGCGTCACAACCACCACCTTAACAGAAATCACGGGAAAGACAAGAGCTGATCTCAGTAGTAATTGTTCTGTCTATAGCTATATTTAAGGAGGCCGGTCGAATGATCAGCTTCACCTGACTGACATGACACTGACGATGACGAAATCATGTCTCTTGAGGTAGACGTCTAGCCATATACATGCTTGTATGGATTCAGTCCCGTATCTCGCCAGGGCAGAAGAGCGAGCCAAAGTCGTCCGCGCTCTCAATAAGAGATCCTCTCAAGGTACACAATACCACGAGTGACGCCATGGGTTTGTGTCATCGATACTGTCAAGAGGTCGTCCATGAGATATCCCAGCATTTAGCGACCGCAAGCCCAAGCAAGGTCCGGATGAAACAGCAAACAGCTTGTCTGCCTGAAGTTTCGGAACACAGAGCGTACTGTGACACTCAGGGCGGCTGGTATCCTCTGATTGATCGAGATGAATGAACCCTGACACTGTCAGAGCTGTAATTCCACTACCTCACTCGCCCTCCTCCATCATCCTGCGTCGTTCAATCTCAGCCTCCAATTCCTCCACGTTCATTGGCACTGTCCGTGTCTTCCATTTGTCGAACTCCGCCCTCGCAAATCCTTCCAAGCTCCCCATAGCCACAACCAGGAACCCCAGCTCCTCCCGATCGACGTCAAAGACCTCCCACCACTCCCCATCCACCAGCTTCACACCCTTCTCTCGAGCAGAGAGGTATATAGCTGCGACGGCAAGCGCATTCGGCTGGTGCGTGACGTAGAGTAGTTGCGGCGACAAGAGAGATCCATTCAAGTGCTCGAAAACCCTCCGGGCTACAGCCGGTGAAGAAACGCCGAGGGTCTGCAGGTACGTCAGGGCGATTGTATGTGGTAGGGCGACATGCGTGTTGAAGCCCAGCGTGCGAAGGATGACCGATTCGATTCGGAGGAGGACGGCGCGCTGCGTTTGGTAGCCTCCTTCGGAGAGAACGTACGTTTCCGGGGCTGGCTTATCTGTTACTCCTCTGGGATTGACGAACCACAGTGGAGACGCTTCTTTGGACAAGAGGAAGTTGTAGACGTTGAGGACGGATCGAGGTGAGGTCGGCTGGAACGAAAGCTTCGCGGTCAAGTACAGAGCAGCGGCGGAGACGTCCTGGGAGAGCGCATTTGGTTAGGTACTAGGACACAGCAATTGTCGACGCGAATGTCAGAGAACAAACCTTCACCGAATAAATACGCATGCTTCCCCCTTCAGGGCCGATCCAGAAACGGGTGAAAGTCACGATGGCCTGCGCAATGATATCCTGCGACAGGCGCAGTAGGATGCCAGCAGCTTGGGTAAGCTGCGCGCCCGCAAATCGGAGGGACGTCTCTAGGTCGGGAGTGACGCCATCAATGGACGACGAGGAGCTAGACAATTGCTCGGGAGTTGCGAGTGCGTTTGAGAGATGCTGCAACGCGGCTACAGCTGGAGGTGCCATGTTGTGCCTCTCTTTGTGGTGGTGGTTGATGGAGATGATGGTAGAAGCGAAAACAGGCGAGGACTCGGTGCGGAGAAGATTCAATGGCAATGGAGCTCCCAGAGGTTACAGCCATTTCTACCCAAACAATCAATGGTCCCATTCCCCCTACACATTATTTAAGATCAATGGTTCTATATCGAATAGGAGACTGTTACAGTGTATATAATTATGTAAGTGTACATTACAATGAGACGTTGCCGAATATCACCCCTCTGAGATATTCGCTCTCTCCATCCTCTTCCACCATTCGCCGGAATATCCCGTCCTTCAGCTGCATGAGAACGCGCGGAGAAGCGAATTCTACCACTTTACCTGCGTCGAGCACCAGAATCCGATCAAAGTCAGCGACGGTACTAATACGGTGCGCAATCACTAGCATCGTTGTTGACCCCTGCCCAAAATCGGACCGGATAGACTTCTGGATCACCTTGTCAGTAGCAGTGTCTACCGCCGATGTGGCTTCATCCAGCACAAGGATCTTGGGTGCGGAAAGCATGGCACGCGCCAGGCAGAGCAGTTGCCGCTGGCCCTGCGAAAGGTTCGACCCTCCCCCTGCGACACGGGCGTCGAGGGGAGAAAGATGCGTCTTTTCTTGCAGCAAATCCGAAGATGATGACTGGCAGCTGGGCCCTTTAGCCGCTGTTTCCTTCCCCGCCGAGGGCCTGCTACCGTCTTGTGCTAACCATTGTACGTGATCTAAGACAGCAAGCAAATCGCTGTCGTCATGTTCTTGGAAAGGATCGAGGTTCGACCGGATCGTGCCGGCGAACAATGTCGGATCTTGCGGGATGATACCCATCCGACGACGCAGATGACCAAGCTTGATCTGGCTAATGTCGACGCCATCGATGAGAATGCGCCCTTCCCGAGCTTCGAGAAACCGGAAAAGAGCCAGAGCCAGTGACGACTTGCCTGCACCGGTACGACCTACTATACCTATTCGTTCGTTGGGCTCGACATCAAAGCTTATCCCACGGAGAACCAATGGGTCATTGGGTGCGTAGCCCACTGATAGATTTTCGACTTGCAAACGGCCTTTGGACGGCCATGCAGCCGGGGCATCTTGGCCATCGTATCGTTCTGTCTTGATGTCAGAGTACTCCAACACTCTCTCCACGCAATTCATGTCCAAGTCGAACATGACATACATTCTGACCGCCATGGCAAGCGCTGCGCTCAGCTGAATGATAAAACTGATCCCGAAACCGGCTGATGACGCTTTCAGGTCTTGCAGGAGAGTCAATGTCATTGCCGCTGCAGTCGTAAACAGAGCGCCGCTGATGTTGATACGGAGATTAAGCCAATGATTCAAGAGGCAAAGATTCCAGTAGACACGAGCATGTCGATCGATCAGCCCATGCATTCTATCGACGAATGAATCAACCCTTTGATAGGAACGGATCGTCCAGAGCCCGCTAATTGAAGAAGCAAGCAGCTCATAGATAGGACTTCGGCTTATACTTTCGAGACGCTTCAATTGTCGTGCGGTGGCCAGATATTGGCGAGCGTACCAGCCGCACACCCACGCTACAATTCCAGAGAAGATGATGATGATAGGACTGACTAATATTCCAGCAATGACCGCGCCTAGTGCTTGCATGCCCTCACCTAACAGAAGTGTTGTATCGAACCCTAGACGCGAGTCAATCATGTTGAAGTCTGCCGTAAATCGGTTCAAGATACGGCCTAGCGGCAC